TCCACTATATTTAAAAGAACATTTATTTGGATATTTTGAAACCTGTTTGGTGGAGTATGTAGGAAATGCAAGAAAAATACTAAAAGTACTAAACACAGTTTATGAAAATGAGTGGGCATGTCTACACAAGACACTTAATGTCCATTGGACTAATTGTACTGCACATTAGCGTGGCTGGCAAAAACTGTGCTAATGCACAAATGCACAGTAGATTAGTCCAATGTGCATTAAGCGTCACATAAAAAGGGTGCATCTGCACTAATGCGCAGTAGTTCCAATTAGCGCATTGTTTAGTACCTGTAATAACAGGTACTAAACTTAATGTGTCATAATTACAGCATATTAATTAATGTGTAGATGCACCCAATGTGATTTAACATTTACAGCACAAATACACCACTAAACCTTTCCATTTTATTAACTGGCACTGTGCAAGGATAAGGTATCCAAATGCATATTTATGAATCTGTGATAAAACAGAATCTACTAAAATAAACACATTTTGTCTTCTGAAAAGTTCCAGGAGGTTTTTCTGCTGACATATAAGTGTTCACTGTGGCTTATTTCCACCTGTGTTTTAACAAAATGAGTTTCACTTTCTCTAAATGCACTGTAGGGTGGTTATTGTCATATCCATTAAGTAGCTCACACAAGGTATTTGGGAGAGATCATAATTTACTGGGCTAAAAAGGGTGTTTGTTTTAATATGGTAAACTTCCATCCGGTAGTCTCCAATATGTTAATTTTTTTTTTTCAAAAATTGAAGGAGGTGGTTTTTTGAATTACCAAATTGCATTTTATACTTCTTTTAAACTCAACTATGTCATGACATTCAGCCCTAAATGAGAGTGATTAAAAAAAAAGTTCTTGAAACTTGTTAAAGCCTTCCTTTATACCTTAGTCTTATGACAGCCTCATAAGCCATTTTTTGTTGTTAACATTTTAAGTTTTTCCAGTATAGCACAGAAAGTAATAATTCACATATGAAGAGAAAATCTAGCTATTTTATCCTGTTTTGTCTGATTATTGGCAAAGTGATAACAGCACCAGCTTTTTACACTGAGGGTATGGAAGGACAACAACCTCAGGAGTTGGGGTTGCTGGCTAATTGCATAGATGTGGTAAGCAGGTTGTTGGCACTGGATTTATTACCCAGATACCTTGTTCCAGGCAGACTCAAAACCTTCAGATGGACCTTTCCATTCTATAATAGGCAAATTTTATTGATACACAGTGATAGCAGATAAGAATAATGCAAACAATTTGATATTTACCAGTTCTAGAGCTGCTAAGACTGCCAGAGTTGAAAGCCTAAGATCTCAATAGACCAAGAAAGGGCCAGAAAGCCCAAAAGTGAGAGACTGTGCCCCTGAGGGTTAAAAATAACCAAAGCAGAAAAGCCTTAAAATTGGTCCTGGGTCAGACCTGAAAACTATACCCTCTTGGTGAATGTGAATCTGTCTTTAACTCCAAGATAAAGTTAAATTACGTAGCATTTCCATTGTCAGATAGTTTTCTTAGGGTGCATATCTTCTAAAGCTGGCCCCAACTAACCAATTAAATTGGCCTACATACAGCAGTGCTTAACATGTAATGTCTTTATATTAAAAGGTATGTAGTTACATGCATGCAATGGAGCTATATTTAAGTGCTTAACTAGTTGCATAGGAAATGTATTTTCTCCGTAGAAAACCTGATCCTGCCATTTGTGCTGGAAACAAAGTCATAAAGCTAACTATGGTGCTCTAGCAAGCCCTTTGAAACATGCTATCCTTGGAATGCTATGTTTGCATAAGCAGATCAAGTGGCTCCTTCTACAGTTGACTCCAAACAGTTCCTTCTGCTTCAGCTTATTTTGGGATGGTGCAGAGTACATCTTTGCAAGACTATTCTCAGGCAGCAGCTATGTTATCACCAGTTAGTAAATGAAATGCAGAGCCAATGAATGAACCCTACCCCAAAAGATCTCATTTAATGAGATTGTGTAATAAGGAAAATTAATGGTGGAAAAGTCAGAAGAAATCCATTCTGTTCATGATGTGTACCAGGCTTTACATAATAAACAGAAAAAGGTTTATTTTTACTGTGTTACCTAAGAAGAAAAATGATGTTTAGATGAAGAATACATGTGTCATTGCACGTATTGTTTTATCCTTTGAGGCTAAGTACAGGCAGTCAAAAAGACCAAGGTCAAATTGATTCAGTCTTCACAGGTTAGTCTAAGCTTCATAGTTTGAATCAATAAGCAAGTGAACAGGCATTCACTTTTGGTTCCAGAAATGCAGCCGCATGCCTGCAGTGGCTCAAGCCAGAAGCCGGGGGGCTCTAGAGCATACCTCCCTGCTCAGCTGGAGCAGATGGGTTGGGCCAAGGCTAGCCCTGCGAGGGGGGCAGGGTGTGGTGGAGGTGCAAAGCATCCTGGGATGCTGGGAACTGTGAGTTAACTTGAATCTGGAGGGGATCTGGGACAGAAATTCAATAAACTTGTTTAACTTAAATCAGTTAAGTTTGATACTACATCCATCCAGGTTTATCTTAAACCAGTTTTGGGCATTTTGAAAGTGGCTTATGTGCACTGAAGTTCTGTAGTGTTACAGATTTGAACTGGTTTCTGATCACTTAAATCAGTTTACATGTAACTTCTGTCCCTAGCCCAAAAGAATTAAAAAGATAACTAAGAATGTTGAAATGTATATTTTCTTCTCTATTGCTTGGTCACACTTGTAAGAAGCGTAACTATTAAGATAATCACATTATTTTCTTTTTATTTAGCTGGACCTTTGGAACTGCCTCTTTTTGAACTGATCCCATCACAAAGACAAGTTGTTTTTCATGGAGACCGCTTGCCATTTCAATGCACTGCAACGTATGTTGATAATACAACTCAAGTACATTGGTACCACAATGGTCATCTTCTTGAAACTGATGAAGAAAGTGGAATATTTGTGGAAGACAGCATCATACATGACTGTTGTTTAATTACACGGTAATGTATATATTTATTGATATATGTATATATATTAATAATATACAGAATTGTATTCAACATGAACAGCTAACAAGAAGTAAAAAAATTGTTAGGATTTATAGTGGTAATAGTTTCATTTGGTGAGGTGGAAGTGCTCTAGCTACATGCTCTTGAATCTTGAGAGATGAAGACATGGAACCTCCTTGGCTATGTATAGAGATTCTATATATTCTTATTCACTTCTCTTTTTGCTGAAACTATACCTGAAAGATTATAATGGGATTGAGTTATAAAGGATGTAAGGGATTTAATGAGTTTACATACGATCTAATACATTAACTGGTAGGTTGACAGATTCTGTAATACTTTCAATAGAAAATCTCCTTTTTCTTGTCATTGTCTATCTTTACATTTAGTAATATTCTGTGACCCTCCCCAAAGTGTGTGTGTATGTGCTCTTGTATGCACATATTTGTTATATAAATACAGGTGTCTGATGCATTCAGAAGAACTGAAGAAACATGGATGACATTAAAAAGATAATTTTTTAAAATAGTAAATAATCAAAGGATTGTCTGGTAATGAACGTGCCATGTTGGTTTGTACCTCTGTCTTCTCTTTTAGTTTCCCCTTAATTTTATTTACATATTTATTTTTGTTTCCTATCCCAATGGCCAAGACCAGCAGTGAAAGTTCCTAAGCTAGTGCAATTACCCTTTCAACAAGTCCCCTGCCAGTTTCTATTATTTTTCAGAAAGAATCAATCATGCAGGATTGCTTGTGTTCGCTTATCTCCACCATCCTCCATTTATAAGATAAAGTGGAAGTAACTATGCTAATTAGCTTTGTTATGTCATTAATTTCTTTCCAGCTATCACTTCCAGAATCAATTTCTATCCAGAATCACTTTCTATTAACATAATGTATCTGAAATGCTTCTTGAACTGTCAAATACAGGTTATAAAAGGAGTCAAATTACTTCCATGCCATTTAGAGCTGATTTTGGTTGTGATGATTTGACCCTATTTTATCTCATACAGATGGAAAGGTGTGGGAGTGGCCTATCCTTACATCTACTAATGTTCCTGTAATATCAATGTATAGGTCTGTAAGTGATAATGAATAGGAATATTCACCAATTAGTATGTTAATATTAAGTTCATAAGAGGGTGTAGTGCTGCCAACTCACTCTAATTTAAGCATTTCTCCTTATTTCCATGATATTAGAATTAAGAGACATACCGTTAATTACCATCATTATAGTCTTCAACCAAATTATATTTTATACTATATGAGCAATCTGTAGACAGAAAAGGCCCAAATAACACTGAAATTATTAAATTGTCTCATAATCTTTGGGTATACAAAATTGCTACTCTTCCTCTTTAAAAAAAACTAATGTATAGAACAGTCTGAATTTTATTTAATATGGCTACATTTTTTGCCAAATCCTATGATCATAAACTATAAAGTTTCTTTTCTTTAACTTGATAACAATAATAAAAGCTTATGATATATACTGTCAAAATGACACTGTCAAGGTATTTCAAAATGTTTTAAAATTGGAAGCTTAAGTATTTTTATTAATCATCTCTGTTGCCCAAATTCTCCACTTTTAATATATATAAGACCAAACTCTGTAATACTTATGCATCAAGGCTCCAATCCAATTGGCATACTGCTGCTGTTTAACTAATTGTTCCGCTGGGATCCTGGGGATTGTTAGAAAGGAACTTCTTGCAGGACTGGGGCCTAATCTGCACTGGGCTTTTGGAACTGGTCCTTTAAAAAAAACCCTGTGTTTTAGTCAACAAATGTTTACAAAAAAGGTACTGACAGAGATGTGTATACTCTGCCCTCAGACAGCAGGAAATATATTGCTATAATTTTGGTCCTAAAAGGATTTGTCAGTATTTTGTAAGTTTTGTGCAATTACCATGTATATTCTATGTTATGGTCTTGTTTCGTAATAAATTTTGAATTACTTATATTGTGGTAGTGCCAGTTGTAAACCAGCAGTCCAGTCTGGTAGATACTATACAAAAGTGGAAGAAAAAGACAGCTCCTGCCTTGAGTGTAGGCAGTTTTTTTTTTATTTTTAAAAGTGTCATTTGTATAGATTGTGTAAAATATAAAGCTATTCCATTATGTGGTTCTATAAGCCGTGGTTTGCTCTTGTCTATGTGCAGCTCCCATTGAAGTCTATATCATTTCTGTGATTATACTGGCAAGCAGAATTTGGCCCGTAATGCCTAGTGGTATATAGTTCTATTTCTAAAGATGACTTTGAACAAAGAGGCACAACTCTGTTCCAAAAGTCACCTTTTCAAGAATTTTAAATTATTATTTTTGGGTAGCTCCAGATATTTCTGAATATGGGTTTACAATGTAAATATACCACTAAACCTTTCCATTTTATTAACTGGCACTGTGCAAGGATAAGGTATCCAAATGCATATTTATGAATCTGTGATAAAACAGAATCTACTAAAATAAACACATTTTGTTGTAATAATTAAACTTTGTTTTTGAAACCATGTTCTGTCCTGTGACATTTTTCTTGGCAAAAGGTGTTTCCTTGTGGGAGATTTGAAGAAGGTGTTTTCAATTCTGCTAGCTCACATTTACCATTTCTTGCCAACATTAATAATAAGTGATTTCACTCATGTTGAACTCTCTGTCATTATGCCTGTATATAAATGTCATAGTCATACATGAAAATGTAAATGTAATATGGAACTAATTTCCTCTTATCAGTGAAGTGATGTAGTAGAAATTGTGCCTTGTGTTTGTACAAAGACAGGGCTCGTTTCTTAGGGCTAAACTGTTAGATTTCAATCTAGCCCATAATAAGGGCAGCACAACAACATGCTACCCCGGAGCAGTTTGGAAGGGAGGGAGAGTGCACGTGACTCAGTGAGGGGCAGTTTCCCCTCTAGTCTCCGCGGTGTTCTGGGCAGGGGGAGCTGCAGCTTTAGGTGCTGCCATAACAAAAGCTTCTGGGTGTCTGGTAAAAACAATGCTCTGCCTAGTTCCTAAACATTTTGCTCTTTTCTCTACGTAGGTTGCGGGGAGGGGACAAATGGACCTTGTTTCCCCAAAATATAGGAAGATATGGTACAATGCACTAGAAGAGGTGATTGTGGTCATTGCCCTACTTTTTCTTTTCTTCCTTATGCCAGTGTTCAGGACAAGCTAGATCTAGTTCTGTAGGTAGAAAAAACCCTGCCCGATGGTCTATCATTAAATATTGATTGTTTTATATTTCAGTTCACAGAGATAATGTTGCAGTTTTCATGAATCCAGCATCTCCTCAATATTGACAGTTTTTGGTTTAAGGTAGTCTCATGATTTACCCAATAGACTGTATTGACTATTGTAGAGTTACTTTGTTCTAACATGTAAATACTTGTGTAGGCAGTGTTTAATGACACTCATTTCTCTGATGGCTTTAATGGCTGCACTGGGACCATTATAGTTTGTGGAGGCTCTTTTGTAAAACAGTAAATTGTGCAAAAGGTTAAGAACCCATAAAAATAGTTGTTGCTAATGGGAAAATTAACATGCCTTTAACTAAGGCTGAAATAGCAGGTCATATTATAAGTTGCACTATTCACTCTATCTAAATATTTTATGTTAATAAATACTAATCATTCATAATACGTGTAATAAAATATCTTTGTTATGTGCCAGTTAGAATTTATGCTGATAGATCCTTCCTGTGAGCCACAGAAAATGATGGGGTTTTTTTTCCTTTCCAAATGTGTCCCCAGTATAGAACTATCAGTCTTCTGAAATGCAAACTACCACAGATATACCACTAATACTTAGAAAACATTAACAAAAAGAAGCATGCCTAGAAATCTGAGTTCTTAATGCATGTGGTGCTTTTACTTTCCCAGCAGTGTGCTATATTTGTTACAATGAACTAAACTGGATTATGTGTTAATGATAAAGGAAACAGGTAACAACTGTTAGAGACAATAAGGAACAAAACTATCATAGATCCTTTCACCAATGCAACAAGGATAAAAAGAGTTTAATAAAATCCAGCTACAAAGCCCAACTGCAGAGTACTAAGCATTGTGTTAACTCTCATTTTAGCATTGCTCTTGCAATAGGTGGGGTTTTTTTCTTTAAAGTTCCTCCTGCTGGAGGCATGTGATTATACAAAAATCCTATCTTTTATTTTTCAAAGTGAGTTTCTAGCCTGACCATTACAAAGAAAAGCTTGAAAACATTACACAGCACTGACCAGAAGGTAAATTAGAGTGTAAATAAAAAGAATTTAACTCTTTTTTTAAAAAAATATGATTTTTAAGATGTTGCTTTTTTTCTTGTTTAACCAAATATTTTTAAATACTTGGTGTTACCAATACTGTATGGGGTGAAGGAATTTCTTTGGCTTGGAAGAAGAGTTGCAAGCCATACTAAGAAAATGTGGGTGATTCTATGTGTTTCTAGTTTGGCAAGTTTGAAACCCAGAGGGGCATATTTGTGCAAATGTTATTGGACAAAGGCAGGGAAGCAGCCCAGGTGATCCCCAGACTCTCTTGTTTGTGGCAAATTTCCTAGTCACCGTTTGCGATGTTATTAGGCAAAAAGAACATTTTGAAAGTAGTGAATATATTTAAAGTTTAGGTATATGTTGAGAAGAAACTGTCGAAGTATAAAGAAGGGAAAGAATCTGTGACGCTTAATTGAGCCAAGACAAAATTATAATTATATGGAAGAATAAGGAGGTAGACCAAATAATCTAATTCACCTCTCATATATTTAGGAAGGACTTTTTGTTTTGCTGGTATTATCTACTTGAAGATGAATGTGTGACTAAGGGTTATATTGAAAGGATCACAGAAATCATCAAAAATGTCATAGTGATGATGTTTTGTTGGGTATTACACCTAATACAAATCAAATTGCTAAACATAAGTAAAATAAGCAAAGCAAAGCAAAACAATCATTTACATTGTAAATTGATTTCCCTGTATTATATTGAGATATCTTCAAACTGGGCT